AACAAGCAACGTGAGGAAACTTTTCTTCTACACTTTCCTCATGTTGCTCGATGACTTATAACCAGACTTGTACACGTTACTGAAAAAAGTTAATCGATTACAATTACTTCATGATAAAAAGTAACCGATTACAATTACAGCCTCAAAAAAGTAATCGAAAAATTGGTCTAAAGTAATCGATTACTTCCCACGTTACTTTTTATTCAACTTTTTTTTTATTATTATGGTAGCATAATTTATGGGGTCTCGCGCTCAGTTGTTCCGAAGAAAAAAAAAGAAAGCCTTGACTGTTTTTGCTTAGAGCTGAGTGAGTAACGCCAACACTTCCCTCTTGAGAAAAAAAAATAAAATAAAAAGAGCGCTGTTTCAATACATTACCCACAGGAGGCTGGATGCGGTCATTTTTCATACCCAGGCTTAGTCTCCGGTGTACCAAAAAATAAATGTACCCAGGAAACGAAGCATAGTGAAGTGGCCTACTAATCCTCGAAATCCCGTGCTTATGGGTCTTGAGAAAAAAAAAAAAAAGACCGCTGCCCCGAGCTGAGTGCCTCCAGCACATCTAACCTCCCCCCCCCCCCCCCCCCCCCCACAAAAAAAAAAAAAAAAAAAAAAATGCAGTAAAGTTGTAATGGGTAATGTTGTGCTCGATTACACAAAAAAGTAATTCAGTTACGAGGATCGTTACTCATTAAAAGCAGTAATTGAAGCGTTACAAAATGACACTAAAATGTAATCGATTACAAGTAATCCATTACTGGTAACGCGTTACGTACAAGTATGCTTATAACTATGTATAGGCGAGTCTTCAAGTAGGTTGGAGACACTTTCCGTCCAGAATGCAGTGCAGTTATCCTTTAAATATATTACACGCCTTCGAAGCAATATCTCACGAACCCCTAAACGAAAACGAACCCAGCATCCTCTAGTCTTATGTTGGTACCTTTTCTGCTAATACTTCACAGCGCACAACAGACAACACATCATCAAAACAGGTCCACACAAAGAAACAACACTCACGCAGCGCTGTGGATCTGTTTTGATGGTATGTTGTCTGTTCTGTGCTGTGAAGTATTAGCATGATTAACCAACTCGCCCCAGCTGAAGTATTGACCTTTTCTGCAGCCACTTCAGACGTCGCCTTTAAACGAAAATATGATTTTTTATCTGATGTTCTGAAGAAACAAACTTCACGCTCGCCCTAGTAAATGGGGCTGGGAGTGTAGTGCACAGTTATAAAACCCGTACCCACAGTGCCTTCAACGTTTTGCTTCTACAAGGAATAGTTGCCCAACTCAAGTACCCCGGAAGACATGTTATGTTTGTAAAATAGGAAAAAGAGTCATCAATGTCGGGGCCATGATGTCCTAAACAAACCTTGGTCTGCGTGATAACAAAGTCTCAAGGTCCCGTTTACTGTACCTTCCACCCCTCTGAAGCACAAAAGAAAGGAAACAACTTCTTAAGCTTTGGCTTGGGGGTCTTTGATATCTCGAACATTGTATTGAGATACATTGGCCCGGGATTGTATCGCGACGCAAGGGATACACCAAAAATGCGTCCCGATACCTAATTACAGATACCATTGAAGCATTTTATAAAGTATTTCTGAAATACTATCGCGATGCTGCCTAACCCTTGCTGATATATTGCAGTGGTAACATTGACTCGATTTTCTCATCTACAACGCTGACTGGAATGCTCATTTCCGCCGCCGGGTGTGACTGGAAATTGTCGAGAAGTTGTTCTACCGCTCCCGCGGAATATCCGAGGGCAGTGGACTTACGTTGACCGTCATAACGCGTCTGGGTTCTTATTTAGCATATTAGTACACAACGTAACTGAAAAAAAATACCTGAAGGTCTTTTGCTGAAACATGCTCATATATCGATTTCGAATCGCTGAATCATAGAATAACTTGCTCCGGCAATGGGCCCATATCGACTTTGCGTTTTCAGACCTAGACAAAGGACTTGCTCGGCCGATACGGGATCCTCCATTAAAATTTTCATAAACATCTGCAAGCCGGAGGGAGCTTAATTCATGACGCCGGCGAAAAGCTTGCTCGAGCGTCTGCTTGTCTTGGTTTTTAATGGTTGCCATTCCAAACAAGCCAATACTGCTGACTGTAGCTTCATTTTGTCCCCGACTTCTACGGCGGAAGCAATTAATTACGGCACACAAAAAATAGCATAACAGCGACTAAAGCCTCCAACATGGGTTCTGGCGGGTTCCGGCGGCATGCGGCGGGTTCCGGCGGCATGCGGCGGGTTCCGGCGGCATGCGGCGGGTTCCGGCGGCATCCGGCGGCATCCGGCGGCATCCGGCGGCATCCGGCGGCATCCGGCGGGTTCCGGCGGGTTCCGGCGAGATTTCTGAACCGCGAGTATCGCTGCATCGTGATCTCGTGCAAGAACCGTATACACCAGTGTCCGAAATCCTAGCCCTAAGCGATGCAAATAGAGAACAATAATCTCGAACGTTCTTCTGAAGAGAGGGGCGGCCCATAAAACGAGATTTTTACTTTTTACAGCCCTCTTTGCGTTGGTGTTGTTCTTGGAGCTTCGTGCCTATGCCTTTCTGACGTTCTTAACTGCAATATGTGCGAAGTTTTCTAAAAACAAACAAACAAACAACCGAGTCTTGCAGAAAGTACAGCCTTCCTGCAGTGTCATGGCGTCAGCATAAATAAAAATGGCGGCGCCCATGGAACAGACCCGACACTGGTCTATAATAGGTTAGAGGGGAAACTTTGTTGCCTAAATCAGCTGCATGCCTGCTGCCCAGGATGAGTTGGTGCGTGTTGGTAGAGCAAACGCGCTCCATTGGTGCGCTGGGTGGCTTCTCGTAACATGGCCTCGTCAGCTTGGTGGTTCCGATAACATTCCCTCGGGACTTTTGAATTCTTTAGGGCATAAGCTGTCAGGGGCTCGCCATTACAGTCGTCCTCTGTCAAAGGAAAAAAAAAACGTTTATCATCACCTTCGTTATGACAGCTGCGGCTTCGCCATTTTGGGTTGTGGTGGATAGGTGAGATTCCACTTTTAGCATTCTTCCTTCGTTTTGAGATCATGTCGTACCCAACTCTCAATCATTTCGATCAGGCGAAAAATATGGCTCGCGTTTTGCATAGGTGAGATCAAGCGCGAAACCCAGCGACCTTCATTATGTGCAAATTATTGTGCATGTGAAAGCATTGTGCATTGTGCGAGGAACCTTTTAGATGTGCTACTGGATGGGGGCATGCCCCGAAACACTAAATTGGGCTACATGTTTCCATTTGCTTTGCCACCAATAACACAAACTTTACAAACGCCCCTTGTACTGATTACGCCCAACTATAATTAGTACATGCAAGTGGTGCATTAAAACAACTAAAAATAATTTTCCGTCTTTTTTATCTTTAAGGATGCGTGCTATTCAGCGTTCCGTAGGTTCAGACTTTCGGTTCGTTCATTTCCATCTCAAGACTGGAGACACTTTTAATATGCAAAAGGAAATTGTCAGCTAGAATGATAGGCACAAAACAGAGACATGGGGAAACAAACATTCTGACCGTTTCGTTTTGCATTATCCACCAACTAGCTTAACTGCAGCCTGTCACTTTAGGTATGTCGAAAGTCAAACGTTAACGGTAGCCTGCCAGATATTTGAGATAGTAAAAAAAAAAAAAAAATGATGCCGCAATCGCTGCCGTCGCTACGCTGCTTCTTGACGAAGATGCGTTGGAATTTACAGCAGTGGTTCGTTGTCTTCGGAGAGCCAGTTTGTTCTCCCGGACGTCGGCAGTTTCGGATGCAGCCTCCGCCGCTTTTAGGGATTGCGCGTCGTTGGAAGCGTGCGAGAAGGTTCTATCCCTCTTACGTAAGAGGAAAAGTGGAACTAACGAACAAACCAAGCGAAAGAAAACGGCGGGAGCTGAACCGCGGCATCACGAAACCGGTCTACGGTCCGGTCCAGTCCAAGCCAAGTCAAACCAAAGACGGACGCATGCACTAACGCAATAAATGGTAAAGCAGCTAACGGCACAAAGTGTCGTGCATCAGTGCTAACTGAAACTCGCACTTAGTTGCTAAATGTTAGGAAGATGCGGCTCGTCACAGAACATCTTCTGTGCGGCCGCATGTGGCTCTTGGCATGGCCTGAATTCGCCAGATCCAGCTCTAGAGTAGGTGTTACTCTAGAGCTTGTTGATAAGGGCATACCGAGCACAACAAAGTAAGCACGTACAAGCGAAAGTCCGTTTTTTTTTTAATTGACCGGTTTACCATTAAGACTATTTACTATATTGAGTTGTAGAAAGTGTTCGCCCGGTGAACCAACCTAACCTGCAACATGTGGTGTCAGTCATTAACCTGCTTAAGTAATATGCACAGACTTACCGACGCCGTGTTCCCTCCAACTGTATCGCGCAGTGGTTGCTCAGGAGGAAAATGCGCAAAGATGATGAACATGTCTACTGCGCAGACTCCACCTTATCGCTTTGTCTATAAATAAACCCCTATCATTTGGCGGCAGACAGCGACCCTCACGACCCGGGTCGTTGCTACGGTTGATCCACAGTGTTTTATCACATCGGTCACTTCCGAGTGGTGACTTTCGGGCGTTGAGAGAACACCGCGAAGAATCGGTGATTGCCGGTTGGTGCTGCTGCCCGCGCCGCGTACTAAATAACTGAGACGCGTGCCATTCGTCGTTCTGCCTTTACTTGTTTCCTTGTTTTAAGTTTTTCTCTCTCTCTCTGTGTGTGTGTGCGCGTGTGTGTGTGTGCGTGTGTTTTTTGGGGTGCGGGGGGTGGCTTTGTCGTACTTGTGATTGCCTCTCTGTACTGACATACATCTGTGTGCAAAAAATTTGGATATTCCACCGGCAGTTGTTGGCAGTGCGCATGTCCAGAAACCACATTGAGACGAACTGTTTGCGCATGCTCGGGAGCCGACATCCGCGCCACCACTGCAGCGGGAAGTCAGAACCATCGTCTGTCTACATGTACGCAGGCAGAACAGCCGCATGATGGGGCCGACGTGGCTGGTCCCCTTTCTGGGCCTCCTTCTCCTCCTGGCACCGAACGCGAACGGCTACGGCACGGGCGCTCCGGACAGCCGCTGCGACAGCATGCTTCCGGGACACGGGAGCTCCGCGCCGCAAGAGAGCGCTGCCCCTTTCAACGCCTCCAGGGAGCTCCAGCCGGACAATACCGTCAAAGGTACGGGAAGCTTCTTCAGCATGATGGAGAAAACAGCTCAGAAAAACTGACTACGAAGACGAACAATAGGATACATGGTTTTGCGCAAAAAAGACGGACACAAGAGAGAAACAAACACGAGTGCTCGTGTTTGTTTCTCTCTCTTGTGTCCGTCTTTTTTGCGCAAAACCATGTATCCAAACGTTCACCAACTCGCCCAACAACAAACTATTTTATTGAAGATGAACAAACACGACTGTACAATGCTGCATTGTCCTGCCGTGTTTGTTCTTCGTTGTCCGCGTTTTTCTGGGCTGTTTTCTCCATCGTGTATAACGTCAACAAACTGGTCGAGTTCACCACCTTATTACTCTCATAGAGTAATCTAGTGAACGTAAAGACTCAACACTCCCATAGTCCCCAGCGTTCCAGATAGTGAAAGGACACGGCAGTATATAGTTTCGGTTCCATATTTTCAGCTTGTGCTGGCTTCGGATGAGAGCTTTTCTTTAATGTTTGAAGATCCTCACCCGTTTACTTTTCAGTTATTTTGCAGTCACCCTTTGAGGCTAATGATGGCTTTTTAGCGCAGTCAAGTTTCTTTGTTAGAAAATAACGACGGCAACAAGTGATCCAAAAATGAAAGACCTTTACAAATCCCTGTAATGCGAAATTAGAACGCAGCTGTTAAGGACGGGAGGGTACAGAGGGGAGGGTATGCCCTTCCTCCTCCTCTCCTCCCCCTGCGTACCCTCCCACCCTCCTCTTTCGTACCCTTCCCTTCTCCTCCTCCATACCCAACGCTCCTACCACAGTTTCCCCGCTAAATCTCAACAAGAATTCAGTCTCCCCGCTAAATTTATCGGGGAAAGTGACTCCACATGACGTCGTCACGTCACCTAGGAACAGATTCAGTTTCTCCGCTAGATTCAGCGAGAAAATTGACATCATGTGACCTCAACAGCAATTCGATTCCCCCTAAATTTAACAGGAAATTCAGTTGGTGTTCAGGTCATGTGACATCCAGTTTCCCGCTAAATTTAGAGCGGTTACGCCGACCTCGTGAAACCCGCAAGTGGGCGCCTAAGAGCCGCGCTCTGAAGTAGTTTATCGTAGGCAAAGTCTTGTACAAGCAGACAAGCGGCATTTTGTGTAACTACAAATACCCGCATGCAGAAGCAGGAGAAAGCTTGCACATTTTTCACGTGATAATTTAAGGATGTGGTAATAATCGAATCTTATTTTTTTTTTCTTTTATCGGTATATGCATGAACGCGGAAAGCCAGTGTCCGGCGCTTGGCCCTCGCTTTCGACGAGAGCAGCGGAGGCAAAGGCAGCTAACTCTCGTCGTTTCATCTCCCCCAGTTTCTCTGCGCATAATAAAAAAAATTATGTCACCACGAGTGAACTCCGCTGCCGGCCAACGGTTCCACCGTGCTCGCCCAACGCGTCGGCCCTGCGCCATCTGCGTCTCCTTCTGCAAACGGTGCACCAAGCGCCCGTCGCACCGGTGCAAAACACGGCGAAACGCTGGGCAATCATGCATCGCGCAAGCGCGCTTATCATCGATAGGCCTGTTTCTCTTGGCCAGGGGGCGCTGCAGCGTTCACGAGACGTGACTACAAAAGAGGCGCCTTCGCTAGCGTCCGCGAGACGCGGCCACTTAATACTGACGAGAAGCGACGTCCTAGCGTCCCCTATGTACCTTCCACGGGCGTAAACTAGCGTTCGTCAGCTTTCCTCGGCGTCTGCTCATGGTTCACGCGCACTAACAGGGCGTTTGAAAGGACGCAACGCTACGCACAGTGGAAACGCGACCTAAAAATATCAGATGTTTGTCGCCAGGGGCGCTGCTCTAAACTAAGAGCTACGGGTCTATAGAGTAATGTAAATTTACTCTGTGCTACAGCTCCAATGCCCGTATCTTCACACCACCTCTTATTGCGTTGTAGTCATTTGGCAAGTGCGCGCACATTGTACGTGCAAATCCCGATATACGGGAGCAATATATCTCTCTCTTCACAGCAACTCGAGCAACCAGCAAGTGAAGCAACCTTACCGCTGTAAAAACAAAAACACCAATGTACATACTTACATTCCTGAGTCTTACATAGCAATTTACATATCAACAGCGACGTCAAAATGCCACATAACTCGAGACGCGCCCGAGTGCCCCAACGTGCACTGCCTGGAGCACGTCTTCGACTGGCGTGTTTAGCGTCCTATCCTGCCCTTACATCAAAAAGTGGTCTCGAAGTGGCAGCAAATGACGCCACAGAAGCCGGAGTGTCATGATGTCGCATGTCGCGATCCTGGCGGTTGGTGGTAGAAAGGCCAACGAAAAGGAGCGAAAGCGAGCGTCGCTGTCGTCACGGCGTCCCAACTTTCGGTTGCCGAAGCTTCCGGGGACTGCCGCACCGACCTGCTGCAGAACAGGCGTCTGCAAACCTCCACCACCGCTGCTGGGACGCCGCCAGGATCGCGACCGGCGACAGAGTGACACCTCAATGACGTCATCAGGCGGAAATCGAGGAACCATTTTTTTTGGACGAGGTAAACACAACCGGTCGGAGGCGCGTTCCAGGCACCAAAACGACCAAAACCTCCAGCGCTGAAGTTTTGAACGTATCGTGGCGCCCTCCGGTGGCGGGCGATAGAGTGTCTGAGTAGTGCAAGTTCCGCGGCCCCGTGCGATAACAAACCTGGTCGGGCGGCTGTTTCTCTCTGCACGCAGCTGTTATTTCTTCGTTCGCGTGGTCATGACGCAAAATATGTGACTCGTAGTCGTCACACCGCACAACGTTACCTCGGGGTACCTGAGCTCGCCGCAAGCTAGTACTTTTTCCTTCGTCCAAGCATGTCGAAACCGGGAGCAACAAGCGCGGCCTCCATGCGGTCAAAACGTCGCCATCGATGGTACTTTCGCGTCGTCAACTGTCAAGAACAGGAATAACCCCGGAGTAAACTTCTACAGATTCCTATAAAAACCGTACGAATTCGAGCGGAGGGAACGATACTATAGCCGCTCTGGGCATTGAGTAAGCGAGACATGTTTTTAGGCCCTCCGGATTCTGCTAAGCATGGCCACTCGATCAAGCGGCCACGGCACGTATCGAAACGAGTGTCATGCGAGTTTTACGAACAGGAACACGCTATGCTGCCCTACTAGTGGAGCTATCCGATTGACCATACAGATTTTGCAAAGCTGCAGCTTGGGCCAGTTGGTTAAACCTATTGCTGACTTCCCAGAGCGCAGATACACTCTAAAAAAAGGGTATATAATACACCGTTTGTCCCATATAAGACACCCCAAAACGTCAGTGCGACGTACAGCGCTCTAACGTCGATCTGACGGTACAAATTTTTGGGAGAGGCTTGATAGCCGTGTGGTACAACTTATTAAAATAGTTAATGTACGTGTTACTGAGTACAAAAAAAAAAAAAAAGGATAGTCGTTTTTTTTTTTTTTTGCCCTACTGCAAAATTTTAGTGTTTTCTTTCTGAGGTCTTTCATACGTACTATAGCTATTTAATCAGTTATATCGCACCGTTATGAAGCCACTCGTAAAACTTGGGATCGTCTGTTTGACTATAGTGCTCAATTTGTTGAACTGAAGTTTTGGGGTGTATTACATACAACAAAAAATTGTCACGTGATACCCTTTTTTTTAGAGAGTATAACACACACACTACAATTTGAACAAACACACAGCGCGGTGTGTGTGTTGGGTTTGTTCAAATTCTAGTGTACGAGATCAGCAGTAAAAGCGCCGTCTCCTGCGGCGAGAGCTTTCTTTAGAAAAGACGAGCGTGCACGCGCACGAACGCACTACAGAGGGCACGAATCGTGTGCTCAATGCGGATCTTATGTAGCGTCAAGCTTGCAGCGCAAATGCGCAAGAAAAACTCAAGAGCTCGAATAGCAGCGTGCAGTATAAGAAGGATCTGTTCGGCCGACATGCGGCCGGTCGCCGCTCGATCCCTTCCGTCTGCTTTCGCGAATTTCTAAGGTTGATCATCAGCTGGTCGCGTTGGCCGTACGGAGGGACGGAACGTCGGGAGTTTTTGGTTTCTAGGTGCGTTAACGTATATCGTAATGCTCCCCTCAAGCTCGTCATCATAAAAAAAAAAAAAAAAAACTCTCTTTTTGCGAGTGACAGCACGTCCACACCAAATTTCCGGCTTCTTGTAGACGTAGCTTGCATCGCCGAGTTTCTTCCCTTTGCGAAATGTCGAAAAACGAAAGAAGCTTTCCACGTTAAAAATTCACTCGATTCGGTGCCGTGAAAAAATCGCTAGGGGGGAATTCATGCCACCGGCTGACGTGTTCACGGGGAACAAATTCAAATGCGCAAGTTTATACTGCCCAATATTGATAAACAAATCGTAGGGGGGCGCTACAAGCCCGTTTTCCCGCAGCTCCTCCTGGGCAAAGCAGGAGGCCTTCACCCCGACCAAACGGTGGTTTCCATGGGGCTGGGGCTGTGACACTACGACATGACTAATGATGCAACGTGAAATAATTTAAATGGTTTCAATATTTCTACAAATAATATAACACTAAGTTTAATTTATTAACAAGAAAACTCGAAATGTAATTTTTTTTTTCACAGCACCGATGTCTAGCAGGATTATTTTAATTGAACTTCAAGACCCCCTCAGGGAGGGTATTACAGAAGGTTTAAACACTCGCGTTTGTACATAGTAAAGAAAACAAGAACAAAGGGGAATAAAATGACACTAGAAAGTATACATGTTTAAACTGAAATCAAAAGAGAGCAAAAGACTGTGAAGGCACTTTTGCTTTCTTTCCCTTCTTTCCTTTTTTTTTTTTTTTTTTTGACCATGAGGCAGCGGTGGGCATATCTTCGCTTCGTTTCTTTTTCAAATCAAGAGGATCAGATATGGAAACGATTCTGTGGGGAAGGATGAAAGGTCATTCCATTCCTTCGCTGCGCGTGAGAAAATAAAGCAGACGAGGTCACCGTTTTAGTTTTGATGCGCATCACGTGAAGTGGATGACCGGTACGATAAGGAGTTCATGCAGATGGCATGATGTACGGTTAACTTGGCTGCAAAGCGTAATAAAAATTGTGAAAGAGTGTGAGTGTGAAATATTTTTGGCAAAGTGTTAGGCAACCTAGTTGAGCACGTTCCTTTAACATGGTGACCTTATTTTATATGAATAGCTAGAAAAAAATGAACCTGACGGCATGATTTTGAATTGCTTCTAATTGATGACTGAGGTAATTTTTGAATGGGTTTTATTTTGGAATTTATAGCGGCAGCGTGCTCTAGCTTTGCGAAGATCAGCGTTTTATAGGCGGAAAAACTTAAGTTTAAGGGTGCAAGTTTGAGGTGGCGTTTTAGTTGTCCGAGTGATCGCGGTGGTTAAACTCTGAGATGACATGGTTAACATTTGGTGCCCAAGATAGGTTGCTAGAGAAGTGCACAGCTAGGTATTTATAAGGTTTGATTGAATTATGGTCGTATTGATAGTATAGTTGTGGGTTAGAGCACCGATGAAAAAAACGAAACTACTGTACACTTACATATGTTTAATGTCATTTGCCACAAACCGCACCAGGTTTGAACACTATACTAACATCACTTTGGAGTGACACCCGGTCACATAGATAAGTAATATACGATACACAACACAATCTTAGGCAAGTAAGCGCATGTTGCAGGAAGCAGGAGGGGGAAGGTCACACACTTCATGGACGACTTATCTCGGCCGCGAAGGGCCCCAAGTGTTCACTCCTTACGTTTACCATATTATTCTATGCCCACACTTCTCGTACACTATACGAAAGGCACGGTGTTCACACAGGAGGAAATAAGTATCTACGGACATTCCTTGGCCATGATCGGGTAATTTTTGCCTCATACGTGCACTCTTAGAAAAGTGGGTGTAGTCTTACACCTTTTGTCTGGTATCATACACCCCAAAACTTAAGTTCGACGCATAACTGACGTCTAACTGACGTCTAACTGACGTCTAACTGACGTCCCCAACTTTCACGAGGGGCTTGATAACGGTACGATAAAACTCAATAAACAGCTAAACTACGTATCAAAGACTATAGAAAGAAACACTGAAGTTTCGCAATAAACTCTCCTCCCCCTCCCTCCCTCCCCCCCCCCCCCCCCAAAAGAAAACAACAACAACAAAAAAACTTTTTTTTTGCGTACTTTTTTTTACTTATTTGAGCCTGTCTTGCGTCACTCTTTTTTTGCGCAGTGATACTAGCGGGGGCGAATCCGTTCAAGGGATTTTTCATCCAAGCTCGACGGGCGGACGACCAGGAAGCCCTCGTTCCTGGCAAGTTCACCGTCAGCGATGCATCTGTCATCCAGACCCGGGACTGCGAAGACAAGGAAAGCGTAAGTCCAAGCCAACAGGTACAACTGTGCACGTTATAGACCCTTTCTTCAAGGGCGCCGCCATCTTGAATTGTCGTCACTTCCAGTATGGGCGAAAACATTGTTTTGCCGTCGCCACGCCAATAGAACGCATTTAGGAGAAAAGCGTAACCGTCACTCATTCTCCTTTTATCTCCCTCTATTTTTTTACTACTTGAAGGTTGAAACGTATTAATATTTTTCCGTCGCCCATACTGGATATGCCTACTTGGCGGTCGGGGGCGAGAGTAAGCGGAAAAGGTGTATACAGAGCGATACCGCGTCTTGCCATGGATGACGTGGGTTGCAAGATGGCGAGAGAGCGATGCGTGGCGGCGGTGGGGCGCGTATGCCCGGAGGTTACGCGAGTTTTCACGCACGGATGTCGCTGGAATTGGAGGGTTAACAAAGCAGGACAGGACCCTCCTATCAAAGTCTACTACCTATGGTATACCTGGTTTTGTCCTGTCTACTCACCTTCTTTCCAGTGTTCGCTCTGTTAAAAGGGAAAGACATGGAGGTCTTTTTGGGAGGAGCCTGTGCGGCTTGTCTTAACCTGCCACAGTCAATAACATTTGGCGCAGTAAAAACAAACGTTATAATTGTGCTCTGGACACATGGGGGCATAAACGCCAACGCGCGCCGCAAGGGCGTTCTGGCGTTGCACACGAAATGAGCTCAACTGATGAGAGGTCGCTGTTGTTGCAGAGCGCAGTCACTCACCAGGATAAATCGGACAAGTCCGAAATCGTCGTCTTCTGGACACCGCCGTCGGACTGGGACGGGGAAGTCGTATTCCGGTAAGATAAAAACCCACCGAGCCTATTTGGTAAATGGCGTTACCGTTCAATCCACCTTATGACGCAGTTTTTCTTTTCTTTTATGGAGGCAGGAGCTGCAGTGCTCATTGAACTTGTACGGAGCACTTGCACTACGTGCCGTCTCGAGAAAGCGCTATCCTTGGGCGCAGTACTTTGTTTCACGTTACGTGGACCGCAGCCGACGCTAATGGAGCAAATCGAGCAAATCAAGCAGCAGCCAAGTGTATCGTCGCAGCACTCGTTGCCATTGTGCGATTGCTGTCACCAACCAAAACAATCGTGCGCAAAAAAGAAAAAAAAAAGACACGAAATAACGACGCATTCGCTGTATTCGGGGATATAGCAAACGCACAAAGACGATGAGCATCGTGACGACGCATTTCTGGATCCACTTGATTGTCCATCCATAGCCTCCTATATGTATAGACCAGTGTCTGCTCTGTTCCATGGGCGCCGCCATTTTCGTTTATGCTGACGTCATGACACAGAAGGGGGGGGCTGCGTTTTTTGAAAGGCTCAGTTTCTTTTAGAAACCTTTGCCCATATCGTATACTTCGTTTCAACCTAGGCCCGAGCGCGGCCGATGTTACGAGCCGAAGGGCCAATCAAACAGCGTAAAAGGCACAACGTCATGGTGTGCTCTCTGCAGTTGATAGGAATAGCCGGTATTCGCCGTCCATCTTTGCGTGCTCCTCTGCCGGCTAGTCCTATCAAGCGCAGGGAGCACGCCATGACGTTGCGCTTTTTGCGCTGTTTGATTGGCCCTTCGGCTCATAACATCGTCCGCGCTCGGACATAAGGTGAAACGAAGTATAGTGAAAGAAGGTAAGAAATGCACAGTCACGAAGCTCCAAGAACGGCACCGACGCCAAGAGCGTTGTAAGAAGCAAAAATATTGTTTTATGCGAGCCCCCCCTCTTTACAAGAGCCTGCGTTTGAGATTATTATCTCCCATTTTTATCGCTGGGGGCTAGGATATCGGACACTGGTCTATACTGACAAAGCCTGGCAGATCGTGACGAGAAGCGGCCGCTGAAATGGAAAAGGTGGAGCGGCAGAGAACGGATGAGAGGAGAGCCACGTGACTGGCGCCCCGCTGCGGCGAGGTGCCGAAACACACTTCTCCCGAGCGAACAAGTGTGTTTTGGGTCCTCGCCGCTGCAAAAGCTGTGCGCTGTCGTCCAGGTTCACCCAAGAAATGGCTCTTTAATGCTCTGTGCTACGAGACCCTCGGACTCCAAATCTGCGACCGGGGAAATTTATGGCTCAGTCGTCAAACTGTTAGGCTTTTTGAGTATAGAGGAGGCTATGGTCTATCTGATCGTGGCGTCGATTGCGGTCGGACTTGAATGAAACAGAATATGGACTCGTGAGACACAAAGCTGAGGCCCAAGTAAACGGAGCCGGCCGATTGGAATTTGGCGACATGATGCCGCGCTCCGATTGAGGCTCCAACTTTGTGTAGTATGACGAGTCTAGAACTGATCCATGACGTGGTGCTCAGTGGAACGGCCCGAACAGGGAAGGCCGCTCGATGGATGGATGGATGGATGAATCCGGCTGAGCCCTTTGGATCGGGCGGTAGCTTACGCCACCTAGCCATTTTGTTTTACCATTTAAGCTTAGAATATTTAAATGTGAAATAACTCACCCAAGCGCCTCGCTCAAGGTCGAAATCGCGGCTCGACCGCTGGCCACGCCTTTTCGTCAGTCACCGGTCGATGCGTCGCACTGCGAGGGGGCGGCGGCAAGCAAGGATGGTCCGGCAGGAAATATTGCTGCGTTGTGCCCGGTGCAGTTCGTGTGCTGAGACCTCTGGACAGGACTGTTTGGTGTCGTCCGATTCCTTCAAAGACGGTGTCGTTTTCTCGAATTAATTTGACTAAAGTTGGCGGAAAACTATACTTAATTTCACTTTGAGTCCAGACGCCAGCCGACGCTACGAGCTGAACCAATCAAAAACAGAAAAGGCCTTGTGACTTGCACTTTTACCGCTGCTTGATTGGCCCCACTAGCTCGTGGCGTCGGCTGCTTCTGGGCTTAAGCTGAAACGAAGCATAAGATAGAATATGTTCCCAACTCCCTGAAACGAATGTTTAATGTCTTCTGTAAAACAAATTTAAACGATCGCCTTTTAACTACTGCATTGCACGTGTTACAGAACTTTGAGATTAAGGTCTCTGGTGATTCTTTTTACCGCGTTCGAGTATTACGCCCTCAGTAGGGCATTCGGTAGAGAACAACTAGAGTAGTTTCGCGGCATTAATTAATTTATTATTGAGAAAAAAATGTTCGATATTAATGACTTCCCGTTGGACCTTTTCCGAGAGAGTTTGCACCCCAGTAGCTGCTGCTTCGATTATCCAAGGCGACTTATGAGCACACACTTAGGTCACGTACTCAACACGAGTCCTCCGTGAGCGTTGGGTACGAACTCAAGTTCGAATGTACTGGGCCCGGGAGCTACGTGAAGTCGAATATAATCGCACGCTCCGCGTAGGAAGGAATTCCCAAACATGGCGGCCGTCAGTGTTGGTCTATCGTGTCCCCTTAATGTCTACCGGTTTTCTTGTCGTTACAGGGCAACGGTAGTGCAGAGCTATACGACATACTGGGACCGCATATTCTCGTCTCCGCTGCACGTTTCCGGTGGCGGTCAAGGTCCCTCATCTCAAGAACCTGTAAGTGACCCTGTGTGTGCTAATGGCGATGCTGCGTTAGCTTAAATCTTGCCAACCGTAAAGGGAACTTAAAAGCCGGTTCACACAGTACCGTTTGCTTACGTTGCGTAAAAATTACGGAAGCTTGCGTCTGCTTGCGTCGCGAGTCACTTGGACATTCGTGCTCCGTATGAAGCGAGGGCAACCAGTTCAGGGAGTACCCTTGCCTGGGACACACGGAACACCAATGTTCCAGTGACATATGACATGGCGTAAGAAAACGTACCTGTGTGAGTGGACCGTTAGGCTTTCTTCCCCGAGACTGCGCCATTTTGGGGGAAAAAAAAAACATGTTTACTTTGTGTCTTCTATTACAAATGTTTGAGCCCTTCAAAGCCTGCGAGGTTAGTATGACGTGGCTCCTTAGCCGTGAGAAATAAAACTTAATTTTAAACGTGGTACTTGAGCCAAAAAGGACACTCGACTCCCGTAATTTAGTTTAACAGACAGGGAAATGTACCTCGTGAATATTATGAAAACAATACCAGACATGCTGCTATAGCGATATGTCGTTTAACAATATGCGCCACCAAACAAGAAATTACATTTGTTTGTTAATGCAGATTGTTCGAAATAAAATGCTTAAAAAAAGGTTCTCAGTTACGTATGCAATACTAAAGTAATAGTTAAAATATATTATATTTGATAAAACAGTAAGGGGCTCTTACTCCCAAATTGAATATCCCTGACAAAATCTCAGAGCGGTAAATTTTTACGCGCGTGAAAATTCACTTTATTCATGATATGTCCGATTTCAGTCAGGTAAGATCGAACAAGGTGTGACTTTTCGACATTCCTACCTGGCTCGATATTGGCGTAAACGAGCTTGGCTCTGGGCGCAGGAGACGGCGATGCCCTCCGGGAGCCGCTACTCCGGCTGCGGAAGCTCTTTCGGCTGCTACGGCATTCCTCAGGGCTGCCAGAAGAAGGGCTCTTGCTCCCTGCTGCTCACGCACAAGGCCGACAGGGACGGAGTCCTCTACGAGCTCGCTGCTCCTTCCACGGGCGCCGACATGTGGATCGCAGCCGGGCTGTCCGACTCCAAGGCTATGGTGAGCTGTTTGCGCTGATCTATCAAAGGACGGTGCTTTCATGGAGTCAGGAACGCGTCTCCGACATGCGTGTTTACCGATTTCAAAAAAGGTGTCCCTCGCTTTCGCCGAATGACGTCAAAGAGAGTGTCATGTTGTCGTCAGCCGTGACCCTGCCATTGTAATAGCGATGTCATGATTATGAGATGCTCTTCTAATTGTAAGAACTTGTGTAAACTTAGAATTTGTTGCATGCGTCTTAAACGGTAAATGTTTATTACGAAAATGGTTAGGTCCAAGGAAGAATTTTATTGTATGCTCTGTTTTTCTAAGAGTAAAAATGACACTCATACAAAAAAGTGAAAGCCGTTTACAACTCCATGTGACGCCGAATTGGAGCGCAGCTCTTGAGGAGGAGGAGGGAAGGGTACTGAGGAGGAGGAGGGAAGGGTACTCCTCCCCTCATTCTTTAATATGCTCCGGAGGGGGTCACTTGACCTCGGGGAAGGGGGGGGGGGGGGGAGGGGGCGTCACGTGACCTCGGGGAGGGGGGCCACGTGATCTCGGGGGCCACGTGATCTCGGGGGTCACGTGATCTCGGGGGTCACGTGACCTCGGGGGGTCACGAGACCTCGAGGGATCACGTGACCTTTGGGGTCACGAGACGTTGGGGGTCACGAGACCTGGGGGGTCACGTGACCTTGGGAGGGGTCACGTGACCTCCGAGATCACGTGACCTTGGGTGACCTTGAGACGGGTAACGTACTTTTGGGGGGGTCACGTGTCCTGGGGGTCACATGACCTTGGGGTGACCTTGGTTACGCCGACGGCGACGCCGACGGCGCTCAAGCCGGAAACGGGCGCCTAAGAGCTGCGCTCTAAAAAGCGTAGCACAATTTTATGGGTATCAACATGGAACTTTTTTTATGCATGGGCGATGAACATACCAGTCGAAGACGCGTTTTAAGCACCCTTTCTGACACGCGCTTTCGGCCCATCTTTTGAAGTTATGCAACTTCAAACAATCTTTATCTTTGAGTCATCTTTTGGGATTTATGTAATCTATTGTCACTCATTAATGATGCAGTTTTCTTGTTTGATTACAGGAACATGCTCACGTCGTAGAGTGCCTCCTGAAGGGTGGTCAGACCAGCATCCGAGAGTCCTGGAACGGAGACGGTTACAAGAACTCTCTCGTAAAAAGGGTGAGCAATCAATTCGGTCGTCATTGAAACAGCGATGGTTGAGTCGGACGACAAATCTTGTGTCATTTCTCTTGCCAGACTTCGGGCGTGGACTACAGAAAAAGGGAACATGCGGACGGAATGTTAACGTGCTCCTGGCATCGCAGTCACCTCACGAATATTGGGACACAGACATTTAACACCCTGAAAAACAAGTACCACCTCTTACTAGCCTCTGGTCCGCTTAAAGCTGGCACGGATGGTGAGTGAAGTTATAACTCGAGAAAGCTTTGGGTGACTGGAACACGTCTCCGATGACCCGAAGTGCCAACAAATGACGTCACAGAAGCCGGAACCTTCTGTTGTCTGTTGTCGGATCTCACGTCCACAGCGACCTGCCACATCCACTTCGAATGATGTGGCACCCCAAGGGTCGCGACAGGCAACAGCATGCACGACACTCTTATGACGTCATCAGGCTGAAATCGAGAGAGACCACATTTATGATGCTGCAGTAAACAAAGATGGCGGAGACGCGCTCCAGGAACCATACAGATGTGGCGTACTCCCGGGATGATTGCAGTTTTTTCTTTTCAATAAATCGTGTTTTGAAATTTGTTTTTAGAAAAGAGCCAACATAAACACCGAGGGGGCACAGACAGTCCCGTCAACCTGCAGCAAAGCGAGGTGTCTGTGAGCGCATCCGACTCCGATCTTTTCATCAAGCTTCATGGTGCGACACTTTGTTTTCTTTTCTTTTCTTGAGCTCTGCTAAAGTTCTAGCGTCAATTTTTGCATGTAACACTAGCATTGATTGCGCTCGACAGTCACTACAATGAGCAGATCTCATTCAGTGTGGTTGAACATCATTAGATTTGGGGCTCTGCAACGTATTTAACGACGGCTATTGTGTTAAATACTTTACCAGTCTATTTGCTGTATTGGAATCTCGATGTTACCATTTCAAAAGTTATTCTTGCAGTCTTTTTTTAACTTTTCTAGAACGTTCTGTTTTTCATACGCAGATAGAGCTGAAATGTAGGCAGGTGATTACCAGTTGGAGATAAAATTAAAGTTATGTCATTTCGTTTTCTTTATTAGGTTCATTGATGATAACTGCATGGATCCTGTTTGTCAGCGTTGGAATTCTGCTTGCCCGCCACTACAAAAATGTCTGGGAATCTACAATGATCTGTGGCGTTAAGCCCTGGTTTGCCGTAAGTAGAACTCTCAAGGCTGCATGAACCTTTCTCGTCTTGCTTTGTATATAGGGTGTTTTCACTGACGTAATTTTGTCCCCCATTTTGTTGTTGTGAGCTGTTTGGCGTCTGCCAAAGGCGAGCATTCTAAGTATCTACATGACTCCTTAAATGCGTAGAGCACAAGACCTTATAAGTCTTACCACGCTTAAATCTCCTCAACCGGTTGCGATCTAATCCTCCATATTAGTAAATTTGTTTGAAGAAACAAACTAACAAAACGGCGGATTAACGTCATGTGAAACACTCTATACCCGAGCGAGGATAGCTTAGCATACGCTAGACGTAGAGATTACGTCTAGCGTATGCTAGATGTTCGCAAATGCTGGGCAGGTTACATATATGTTGACCGTAACGTACTTGCTTTCCGCCGATTGCTTTCAGTTTCACAGAGGCCTGATGATGCTCTCTGTTGCTATGATGATTGCTGCGCTCGTACTCATTTTCTACAGACTCGGGGGATGGAGTCCGGTAAGTTTTCTTTCGATTTTTCTTTTTTTTGTTCTTATACACTGACCTCATTAATAATTCTAATTTGAGGCCTTATACTTGACAATAATGTATTAAAGCACTCAAATATGCTCTTCACCATATTCTTCTACATTCCAGAATGAAAACCCACACTCGATTCTCGGAATAGTCGCCTCTGTCTTAGGCTTGACACAGGTAAGCATGTCAGAGAACTATCGCGTGTATACATGGGCGTACCAGCCGGGGGAATCCGTTTGCCCCCCCCCCCCCCCCCCCCACACTTCCTGGAACAGCCGCCACTGCGCAGGGCAAACACTGGCCGGCGGCGCGCAAGGGATACCAAGGGCACCGCTCCCCTGCCCCAGGGGGGGGGGGGGGGGGGGGAGTTGGTGGGGAAGGGGGAGGGAGGTCGGGTTTGCCCCCCCCCCTACTCAAAAACAAGTTGGTACGCCACTGCGTGTATACACTGTACTGATCTTTTTGTGTTCAATTGTTTTTAACGAGAGCAAAAATTAAGTGTGTTTAAAGGTTCTGTAGGTACAAACTCTAGTGTGTAGCCTGTTTATAAGGTTTTCCACATCTAGCAGTACTTTGTTTCGATTCGTGTTTAACGTTGGTGGTTTTACACATTTTAACAGTTTTGTTCCCGAAGTCAGAATGCACTAAAGAAGCTTGCTTTTACTCAAATGTTCGCTGAACGAAACTTTAATTTAACGCGAAATACCTTAGATTAGTCTAGTTTCGGTGGTACACATGACTTTTTTTACCTTCAGCCCATCATGGCTCTCTTCCGCTGCCATCCCCATCAAGATCACCGATACATCTTCAACTGGCTGCACTGGTTCAATGGCAACGCCGGTCAAATTATAGCAGGTTAGTGTTAAAAGGATACTGAACCAAGGAATTTAGTGTCCATAATAAGTGGCGCACGTTCTTTCCACGAGCCAGCAGCCGCCGGTGTGCGCGAGCACACGCAACAAAAATGACGTCACAGACCTCCATTCGTGGTTGGGATGACAGTGAAATGTATGGGCTTCGGACCAAACGAGAATAAAGACAAGTTTTTCATCTACACAGTGCTGCCTGGTGTAAAAAGTAAGCGATGAATTGGTCTAACAAGCAAGATGAAAAGCCTATCTTTATTCTCCTTTAGTCCGAAGCCCATGCATTTCACTGTCATCTCAACCGCGAATGGAGGTCTGTGACGTCATTTTTGTTGAGTGTGCTCGCGCACACCGGCGGCTGCTGGCTGGTGGAAAGAACGTGCGCCACTTATTATGGGCACTAAATTCTTTGGTTCAGTATCCCTTTAAAAGCCTTTGTTCCCTCCACGATTCACAAATACACCAATACGCTGTTTAAAAACAAGTTCGCGTTTTCCTACACAAAGCCTGGGCTCTGCGCATGCGCAGAAACCATATTCGCATGGAGTGAAGCGTCTGCGTGTGTGCCATACCGACAGCAGCGCCACTGCAATAGTGTGTCGGTGGAGTCGCGAATATCGCGACTCCAGCGAACTATAGAGGGCGCGCTGCTCAGGCAAAATGGCGGACGAAAGGAGGTTGTTTTCGTCGTTCAGCACGTGGACCAGCACAAATTCCTGCACTGCAGCGTAAAATTAGTGCCACATGTGAAAGGAAAGCGATTTTTCGACGGTAGAAACCTTCTCCTAGTCAGTGCGTAGGAATGACACGGCGGAATCATAAAAATAATTACTGGAAACGATGTTTGTTGCTATGCTGCCTACCTTGCTGAACGAAACTAAGTAAATACCGCTATCCGTTACTGGCTCAAAAAGTAAGATGTACGTTACCCAGTAATCCGGTTCAAAAGGAGCATTACGTCAGCTAAAAATTGGCGAGTTATTTTATTGTTTCTCTTCAAGTAACGTTTTTCTGAAGCACTAGCAGCCTCGCAATATCTTGTCTTTTAGAATTCCTAGCTTTTTAACGCATTCGTGAACGTGTTTCTTAGTTTGCGCTTTTTTCTTTTGCCGTCAAAGCTAGGCGTGAACTGGGTGAAAACCAAATAGGGTAACTTGGGCTGTACGCGTTCCTATCTAGAAGTAACTAAATGCCGTTACTAGCTACTCTTTCAAAAAGTAACAGATACAGGTTACTCGTTTTTTTAGCTCGAAAAGCAATCAAGTTGTTATTGTGTTACCGAAAGAAGTAAGTAGACGGAAGTAACGCCGAACGCACAAGTCTGGCTCAGGGAGGTGCGGCGGGAGCCTGAGCGTGTTCTCCGTGCCGCAGTGACCGCCATCTTCTTTGCCACGAGCCTGGATAGGGCCCAGCTGAAGGACGCCGACTGGTTCGTGTACATCCTGGCCGCCTTCGTCGGCTTCCACGTCATGGTGCACGTGGTCATGCAAGTCCACTCCATGGTCATGGAACGCAAGACCAGTGCGTACCGGCTCTTTTGTCCGCTTCTTAGACTCTCACTTCTTCCTTGGTGAAAAGGTGACGAATGTGTTCTAGAAACGGATTAGATCATATGATGAAAATTATGTATGCTTTATAATGTACCCGACGCAATTTACGCAAGTTCTGATATCTTTATTAGATCTAAGAAAAAAAAAAGCTCAATAGCGTTCAGCGGGATTCTTCATCTGTTATGGATGGAGGACCGTTCGAAATCTACCGAGGGAACTATTACGAAACCGCTCGCGAACACTGCGTGCATTTCAGGTTTCAGTATGTGTATTGTGTGACAGCAAACTGTTGATTTGCCGTATAGTAAAGTAACATGCCAAGTATCATGATTAGATTCGGACCTTGGCACTTGGAGCATGTTTGACCAGATATTAAGCCGAAGTAAACTTCATGAATCGGATAATAAAAGTAATTGAATAGAAAGATCACCAAGTGGGCATTCCGATCATGATCTCGCTGCAAAGATTGAAACGAGATCATGTTATCTCAATACAGTCCTTGATCCGAAGAATCAAATAATTATGTTTTATGTTTAAAGTTTAAGCTTTCTAGTAATAGTCTTGTGAAAATTTTGTTATAAAGAAATTCAGTTATTTGAGGTTTTTTAGCCACGCAGACAGTCGCAGATAGACGCGACCATAACCTTTTGCTATGTGAGTGTTTCTCGACTTCTTACAATTGTTGTACGCAACTCTTGCAGAAACATCAGTCGACATCAAGATGCAGGAAATGTCTAGGAACGGAAACCACGTTGCACATGGTGACGACATCCAACCCCCATCAAAAGATGCGCCCGTAAGTAGCGTGTTTACTCTCCAGGAGAAAACAAATCGGCATAAAAATATATCTTCGAAGCTCATTTTGGTGCTTTACAAGTTAAAGATATTTATAAGGGAATAGTATAACTAGTTTGTAATGTGAAATGAAGATTACGATGTTTTAATAAAATTTAGACATGTTTCGTGCGACATTCATGTACTATATAAAACTGCTGCTCATGGGACATTACAATATGTTGAAGGATTCTTCAGGAAAACTTACAAATTGAAACGAAAGCAACAACAAGTAGGTAGGCTGGTGGATGCATTGCATGAGGATACTCAAACTTATAACATTTTTATAGTAAGGAACTTACTTTTTTTTCAGGGAACCATAAATAATTAAAACGAAAACAGAATTTGCACATAAATGTTTTACACCTGAGGAAAGTTGTTGCTAGCGTCGCCTTGGCCACTGTTGCTTTATTCTTTGGTAACGCTCTTGCAAACCAGCCCCTCACAGAGTCACTGATAGTTAAGGACAGGGTTCTCCCAACTTTCTTGGCTAAAAGGTGGATTCGGGATCTGTCACTGCCTCGAGGACAAGAAAATGAACCAGTAAATATAAATGAAGAAATAAATAAATAATCCTATAGATGACCGTTTTAATACAAAATTGAGTCAGCGTAAACATTATGAAAGCAGAATATAAGGGGAATTAATATATCTACGTTCACCCCGTTGGTCCGTGTTGCGGCGGCGTTTCTTTACGCGCGCTAGTTCTTCCGTCGGGCGGGCCTGCTGGATGCGGGCCTGGGGCCAAATTTCATTGGAAGAACCACGGCCAGCCGCGGGTCGGGGTTTGGAGACCCCCTGGTTTAGGATATACACACTCCGCTGTTTTCTTGAACGTGCCGCACCGTTCTGTGACTTCTGCATCGCAGACAGAGTGGCATATTAGGCTTCGTGTTTTATCCCTCACTTTGTCCCTGTCTTGCGGCGCATTTTGTCGAAAGAGACGTATTAGGAAGTCGTACAGAACTCAACATTATTCGGCACAGCATATTTGCTGGACACACTGGGTCAATAGCGAGGTTTAGGAAAGGGGGTCCCAACGCAAAACTGGGTGGCACAAGCAGCTCCAGGCGTCGCACTGCGCATGCGGACGTGTTCTGCGCATGCTCTGTCTGTCCGACGCCCCAAGCTGATTGGGCTACCCATAGCGTTGGGGCCCCCTATTCTAAAACGCGCCATGAAGGAGACTCGCCCCGATCTTCCAAACTTCGCAATAAACGTTATCCAAACTTAAAGGTTTGACCTTTCTTGATCCACAGGGTGGCGGATTCCGGAGGTTCATGCTCGGCATCTACATGGTGGTCGCTCTTTTCGTCGTGGCGGCCCTGGTTGCCACCATCTGGTTCGCGACGTCCTGAGGACTGGGAACGTCAGCGACGCTGCTCTCGCTTCCCACACTCCTCCAGCCAAACCAAGTGCTCCAGTTTGCCTTTACACGTACACCGTTTCCCTTCAAGTCCGACTTCAGACGATACCACGACCCCATTGAGCCAGTCGAGCGGCAACACCAAAGTGCGTCGTCGTGGCTCTCATCGCCTTTGTGCGTTTTGCTGCACACTGACTCAACCCATCACCCTCAGTGAGTGATGAGTCTAGCCGGTGATATCGAGCCCATAATGACAACGAGCGCCGTGACGGTGCACTCCTGGTTCTGCCTTGGCTGCGCTTAGACTTGGAGTGAAACGGTGTACAACGGGTTTCACACAAACCATGTCGAAATTCCCCATCCGGCCATGCCCTCGTAGACGTCTGAATATGTGCCACGCAATCTTGGATGCAATGGGACTTCAGCGTCGGTGGAGTGGGAGAGAGCTCGGGCGGGGGTACTTGCACCATTTTTGTTTTCAGGCCATTCACAATTGTGTCTTCTGGAAACCGGGACCAACCCGTGACGGCTTGGAGTGATCTGAAGGTTTTCGTCGTGTGGTGCCCAAGGTGCCTTATGATGCAATCTGTGTCCCCCTTCATCCTCATTGCATACCACCACTCACTCTTGTTACAAGGAGCTCCTGGTGCCATGACCTCGTGTTCTTGGGCGCTTCTAGAGAAATGTTTTGATGTTTTTGTTTGAACAGCCCATCCTTGGATACGCTTGAATCAGTGCTTCTGACCAGATACGTTACACTACGTATCCAGATGCGTCCGTTCGTTGCAATTTTTATGCATAACATAGTCTAAATCACGATTGCTTACGTTCATCGCTGCTAACTCCCTTCTTTTAAGTTTGCTTGATAGCGATTCTTGGAAGTATTCTAATGATTTTTTTCTACACGTTTCTACACGAATGCTCTAACTGAGAAAGCTACAGCGTCACACTGCGAAAAGAGATTATTTAGTTGCGTTAAAGTTACTACACGCAACCGTGACTAATCTGCCAAAGCTTAGGTGGTTCCTGCCAATGCAAATATGTTGTTAAATCTATATACAAGTTGCACACAAGAGCGCAGGAGAGATACGTGAAAGCGACCGTGTTTTGTTGTGTTTGTCCGTCCGTTTGACACCGGAACTGTTGTCGCAAGAGCGCAGTGTAACATTTTGTACATATTCGAGTAATATATTGTGTATAATAAAATGGTCTACTTCGTGTACAGCCTCAAATCAAATCTGCCTGCGTGTTTTAGATAGAAACATGAAGAGTGGGGGCTTCACCGGGTCAGTTAAAGGAGCTGTGCAACGATATTCCATTGGAATCTTTTTCTCTCTACACGAGCTTACTGGCACACCTGGGACTCAAGGATACTCACACGCAACGCCATTGGCCAAGAAACTCCTTTGTTGCGGTGTAATTTCAAGGACAAAAGCGATCATTTTCATTCAATCTCTTCTTTGCAAAATTTGATGACGTAACTCGGGGATCGCAGTGCACCCAAGTGACGATATTTGAATGCGGTTCATAGATTGGACCCGAGCAATGCATGGGCACTCGACTTGGGCTCGTGACAATTGCTAGCTCGAGAAGCATTCGGGTTGTGACCCGTGTCCAATCGCTGCAACGACGACAACAGCCGAGCCATAACAATGTCTGGAACTCAGCGCGTGTCCTGCGCTTTGCCAACCCCAGCGCGTGGCTATGATCAACACTGGCGGCATATAATCGGCTCCAGATCACGTGGTTGCTTGTTCTGGCTGCGAGTTGAGGGGGTGAACGCTGCTCGTTTTTTTTAAATTTTTTTCTGGGACTTCTACTGCGTGGGGTGAAAAACGAACGCGTGTTTCATAGGTCATTAACGTTAGGGATCCGTTTTAAGCGGTATTTGTGCACAGTACAAAAATTGTTGCATTGCTCCTTTAAGCTCTCTGGGTTCACCAAAGGAAAGTTTGGGGGGGGACTAAAACGACATCATCTACAGAAACATTGAAACCATGATGATTCCCCGTTTTCAGCGACCCCGGAATTGTATTTTACATAGGGGGGGGGGGGGGGGGGGAGGGGGTCGCCTAGTGGTCAAAATTTAAAAAAAAAGGGGGGGGGGGAGTGGAAAACTAATATGAAAAAAAAAATTATTACTAAGATTTTACTGTTTATAAAAGGCTTAGTATCACTACCTATACTGTGTGTTGTTCATACATAATACACAATTCCCCTCACGAACGAATGGGATGCTGACAATCTGATTCAATAGTAGTAGCTATACCGGTGGCATCGATCTACGATATCAATGTAAAATGAACTGAAAAATCGGGCGCCTCCACGTAGAAAGCTCGGATTTTCAACAAAGGTGTATTTTAATCGTGGACACATTTCTATGAAATTTATCGGCGCAGCTCCGTCCCTGTAAAAAGTTATGGCAATGCATTTTTGAAAATTTAAAGAAAGTTTATCACTGGTGGACGCGATCGTCCTTCGGTGGTAAACCTTCACTGACGATGCACTTTTTTTATTTCAGCATGTTCCCGGCTTATATGGTCGTCTTTGAAGAGAGGGTAAAACAGTCTGGGTGTTTGATAGCCTAGGGTGCCCACCTGGACATAGCAGGCTGGCTTGCCAACCAAGCACCAAATGGTGTTTCGAAAACCAGGCACAGAAATACAGCCGAGAATGCCGTGATTCTTTGATGTGTCCGACGACGTCTGGGTGTATAATAGCCTAGGGTGCCCACCTGAACATAGTAGGCTGGCTTGCCAAGCATCAAATGGTGTTTCGAAAACCAGACACAGAAATACAGGCGAGAACGCCGTGATTCTTTGATGTCTCCGACGACCTTCGTTATAGCGACACTTCAATATAGACTGCAATCTCATTATGTGTAGTTGGTTATAACTAAATAAGCTATAATATCGGTGTATTATTCATATTTAGTTTCACAGTTTCAGTCAGGGGAAAGGAGGTTCGCGGGAACTACTGGCACTAGCGGGAACAATGAAGAGGCAGGCGTTCAAAGGTGGCTGTTTGTGGAACCCGCGGGGCTTACTTTATGGCTTTTTCAGATATTACAAGCTCCTTGAACATGGGCATGAATAGTGTCATTAAATAAGCTACGCTTCAGAGTAACGACACTTGGCCCCATTGTGGCTTAATATCATGGTTGCAAGATATCTGAAGCTTTATCTAATATCACAGGAAACGCTTTTCCGCCCTCCACAAATGTTTAAACAGTCCGTGACAGAGCAAACCAATATTGCATCAGCTTCCTAACATCGCATCTAATGCTGAGGAAGTCGTACTTTTGGATCATGACGATCGGCAGTTTCGTTTGCTCTGCACAAGACCCAAAATGGCGGCGCCCACAACAATGTTGGGGAACAGAGTGCCGATACTCTAAGTGGAGCTCATTTAGTGGCTCTAGGCATGAAGTGAACTCGGGCGTATTCTTTTCTTTTTCGTCTTTATAGTTTATTGATTTCAATCATATCGAATAATGAACACAATATTGCCGCGCCCAGGGCTGAGAAAGCAACGCTCAGTCACGGACCTCCAGAAAGTTCTCGTTTATTCATGTACCGCATGTAACTTCTATCATTTATTCCTGCTTTTGTTTTCTAGAAAGTGCGTGTTCATTCTCGCCCGATCACGCGACGCTCGAGCCGCTTTCGCCGAATCTTCGAGATAGCGACGCACTCTAGATAAGAGGCCGCCCGCGACCTTGTCGAGTCAGTTTCGCCTCAGCGTTCGACCTTGCTGCTTCGCCGCCTTCGACGCCCGCGACGCTCTGTTGTTATTTTTCTATTTCCTTTTATTTTTGGCACAAGTTCGCCACATTAAACGTCTATTTCTTTCTGTGTATTTATTGTTTCTTTTGGTCACCACCCGTGACATTTTGGTGGAGGTGCGGGGTACCGCATGCCCCTGCCGCGTACCCCTCCGAGGGCCCGCAGTCCAAGTCCGACGCCTAGCCCACGAAGAACCAACGAAAGCACTTCCGAGATCCGGTTCAGTCGTCGCACCCAAGGCCTACACCCGGAATTCGGACCTCTGCCGCCCAAGACTAAGCAGCCAACGAGACCAACGATGGACAGCCAGTCGTCGCAGAACCCGTCCACCGCCAGCGTCGTCGTCCTGCCCGTCGCACCCCGGACTCCGACGCCTTTCCATGGGGAGATCCACGAAGACATCGAAGACTGGCTGCGACACTACGAACGTGTAGCCCGCCACAACGGATGGACGACTGAGCAGTGCCTCCACAACCTTTACTTCTCGCTTGAAGGCACTGCGAGGCACTGGTTTGAAAACCACGAAGCCTCCTTCCCCACATGGGAGTCCTGCGTCGCCGAACTCAAACGAACATTGATTAACCACCATCGTCGCCAGCGAGCAGAGGACCTGCTTCAAACAAGGGTGCAGGGCCCCAATGAAAGCCTGACCAGCTTTGTAGAGGATGTTCTGCGTCTAAGTGCCCGAGCAGACCCGGAGGCCGCTGAGGAAAAGAAACTTCGAATCCTCATGCGAGGCGTCAAGGCAGAAATTTTTGGAGGCCTGGTTCGCAATCCCCCGACGACCGTCGATGCATTTGTGAGTGAAGCCACGAACATCGAGCGCGCACTGACGGCCCGAGCAAGCCACTACCACCGACTCGCCGGCGCGCCTACTTCTCCAACCGTCGCAGCTACACTTCCGGACTTGAGCACCACCGGTGTCGACAGCCTTCGGGATATCGTCCGGGATATCGTCCGGGAAGAGCTCAGGAGGATTCTACCTGCTGCAGATCGCCCAGCCTCACTCTCACTCGCCGACGTCGTCCGAGAGGAAGTTCACCGAGCTTTCCATCCCGAGGTTGCCGTCACCGCAGCAGCACAGCAGGAGCCAGCCGTAAGCTACGCCGAAATGCTCCGCCGAGCACCATCAGCACCGCGTCCGTACATGGCGCCTCCCCGACGTGTGCTTCCAGAGCCGCAGCATTCCCGACGCCAGGAAGATCGGGCACACGTTCGTCCAGAACAAGTTGCGCCAAGGAAGACCAACGTGTGGAGGACGGCTGATCGACGCCCGTTGTGCTACCACTGCGGGGAAGCCGACCATATCTACCGACGATGCCCCTACCGCCAGCTCGGCCTACGAGGGTTCGCGCCCAACGACCCTCGACCACGTCTTGGAGAGCGACCTCGGGACATCGAGGACTACCTCCGCCGCTCTTCAACTCCTGAGTCGTCTCCCCGCCGAGTATTCCGTTCGCCATCTCCCCGACGCTCGCCATCGCCCTTCCGCCGGTCTCGCCGAGACAGCCTGTCACCCATTGCGTCCCGTCGGGAAAACTAGGCGCGGCAATGCCGGGAGGTGGTGTTGCCGAAGACGAACGATGCCAAGATCCTCCAAGATCGTCGGAGCTCTCCCACTCTAACGCCGCAACGCCCCGAAACGACGTTTCTGTAACAGTGTCGAATAACCTCAACGTTATCATCGACGGCCACGACGCGACAGCACTCGTCGACACCGGAGCGGATTACTCCGTTTTGAGTGGGAGACTCTCTCGTCGCCTTCGGAAAGTTACGACGTCGTGGGATGGACCACAGATACGAACCGCCGGCGGACACCTCATCACGCCTGTCGGCAGGTGCACTGCTCGCGTTGAGATCCACGGTGAAACCTGCCCTGTCAAGTTCGACGTTCTGCAAGACTGTTCGAGAGACGTCATTCTCGGAATGGACTTTTTGTGTGAATACGGCGCCATCATCGACCTTGGGGAGAACAAGCTGACGCTTCGGAAACCTGTTCCCTCGGCGGAAGATCCCAAAGCGACGTTAGCTGCAGTGCGAGTCCTTACCAGCCACGTAAACCTGCCGCCGCTGTCCAGTGTCTTTGTCCCCGTCGGGACCGACGAAGCCACCTGCGGGATAGCACTGTTGGAAGGAAGCGTCCAACTTCTCCTTGGACGAGGGATTGGTATTGCAAGAGGCGTAACCGAGCTCCAGGACGGGCGTACCGTAGCCCTTGTCACCAACTTCCGGCAAGAGTCGCAGCACCTTACAAAGGGTACAGCTGTGGGCTACGTCGAGGAAATTCAGGACTCGGCCGCCATCGCCGTGATCTCAGAAGACGCCTCTCCGACGCACCACAAGGGAACCACGCCGTCAAAGCTCGACATCGACCCGTCCCTCCCAGGCCCACAACGACGACAGCTGACTGACGTTCTCGCTGAGTTCAGTGAGTGCTTCGCCACATC